TGATGATATTTAAATACACATTTACATATATTGCATTAAGGATGGTCAAAATTTTTGGTAAGGTGAAACGATGGCGAATAATGTAAAACGCATGTGATAAAGGCAGCAGCAAAAAACAGATCGAAGACTAGAACTAACACAAAACATTGGCAGAAAATTGTTGACTTGATCGCATGTTCCCTGCAACGAGACAGCATATCCTTAGCTCTAATAGCTTAAAGTGCAAGAAACAAAAATAGCTGATGGTCACGTCGACGGAGAAACGTACTATGAGTATGTAGCCGTTTCATCTATTTATATTTTCAATCGTTGTTCAACTGGCAATATAAATATTTCCTTAATGGGGTACGTGACGTGCAGCCTTTGTAAAAATGTAATATCCTAATTTGATGTGAATTGATTCATATTAATACCACTGGTTTAAACATAAGACAGGATGCACAGAGGTAAGTCTTCAATGCGCCTCTAGCAAATTTTGGCAGTATTAGAGTAGATACCAAATGACGAAAACGACGCAAGACCGGCATCAGCATGCGCAACGATTTCCGGCGCGTCGCGACGGTATGGCGATGGAGAAGCGGTTGCGCTGTGTGTCGTAAGATTGATGTATATCTAACATTTCAGTGGACGGAGGGAACATAAAGTATGATTTAAGCCACCTGAGTTTAGCACGTTTTAAGGGCGTTACAGTGTTGAATATTGTCTCGAGTGCACGATCACCGGAAAAACACCAGTGTGAGTTGGAAACATTTTCCTAATTTCCGTGCTCTGTTGGTCTAAGTGGGCATGATCGTCATTGGGCAACCAGCAGGACTGAGAGAGCTTGGAATCGAATCAGGGGCATGATTATTTCAGCATTTTTCAGACACTTGTTTTCTGCCATGTTTAGGCTGATATTTGTGTAAGGTAACTCAAGCACAATCCATGCCCATGCCAGACTGCTAAACAGTTATGTCATTTCCAACAGAATTTCATGTGTCAGTTTTCATTTAGGTTTCATTTCATCAGTCAACAGAATTGCATGGTATGTACACCATAAAGGTGGATTACTGGAGCTTGGTTCAGTCACCATCAATTTTGCCACACAAATAATCTCTCTGGGCATTGTTATATTGCAAAGGGAATTTCAGATGTAGTGCTGTGAAAATAGTTTTGTATTCTGAATAATTCAGACATAAAGGGAATGTTTCACATTTGCAGATGTTGAAGCAAGCATCAGACATCATGAAACTAACTTACTTATAATTATTGGTGTACTTGTAAACACAAAAGACTGCTTTAGACAACATTATTTCTCTGTTTAGTACATATGTTCATTGATACATCATTGTTTGATTGAGCCATCATACCTTGCATAAAGTTGTTGATGAGTCAATTAATGGGCATCATATCTGGTGTCCAAAACACAAGATGTGAATGATTTGACCATTGTTTTGTTCTTGGCCCTGATCATGGCTTATGGAATGGTAGGATTTCAATCATTTTATTTTGATGTCATACCTACTAAGGTGTCCTTAAACTGCTCTCCCTGAAATAGTCCCACCATCTTCACAGATGTGGAGCTCAGAAATGAGAGGGATTTAGGTCTTAAGAAAGGCAGGTCTGTAGACTGAACCCAAAGATTTTCAAGATGGCTATTTTAGTTCATAATCTTATAGAAATGTGGAATGCTCCCTTTAAACACATTTTTGCTAGCCTGAGTTTGGTGTGTATGAGAGCAAAGTGTAGCAGAAGGATGACATGTAGGCATGCTGTGTAGTGGATACATTTTTTTACCTAAACTTCATGTGCATGTAGGTACAGTTTGATACATGAGGAAGGTGTAATACTGAGATCACTGTTTTAGTGAATGAACAGTGCATTCTTTGACCATACATGTATATCCTCCCAAATGGATGTTGGTTGCAAATCATCACTATGCACTGAAAAATGGAGTGTGGCTAGGCACTAGACTCCAAAATGCTCCAAATAGAGGCTGGCTACATATGAGACTTACACACCCTCCAAAACTCCTGGCCCACCCAGCCACTGCATTGCTCCAGCTTTATGCCATTGTGGTACCAATTTACATGGGCATTGCCTGCATACTTGCAAATACTGTTTCTTTTTCCAATTGGCAGATGCCTTTGCAAGCAGAATCACGGTAGTATATTATATATTGATACATTGTCTATTTCAAGCTTTACCTCTGTCTGGGAGCAAGAAGTGCAAAGTAAGCATTGACTACCTCAAATGAGCGTTACTCTGTGCACAACTTGGTATTGTCATGTGTTGGGGAAATGAAAAGGTGAAATTGCTAGCTGATGAATGAAATTTGCATGCAACATGTTTAATATGAATGCAATATGATAGATTTTTGTCAAGGGCAAACACCTGATAATGTGGTTCCAACATGGTTCAGCTTTAAACTGAAAGCCTTTGGTCTGGGAGGCCTGATCTCATTACACCAGGTCAAGGGGCAAAGTCATCAACTACCATGCTGCTGCATTGGAGAGCTGTTGCAGCCTGCTATGCAAGTCAACTTTCATGCCATAAGCTATGCAATGTTGGTGATCACAAAAAAATGACAGTTTGGCCCAGTGTTATTGATTATGGTTCTGATTTGATCATGAGCTGTCCTGCCCAGTTACATGGCCTTGGTTGTGTGGACTGGATCCCTGGTGTGGGTGGTGTTTGGGCCAGTTGTGCACACTCAGTACCCTCCAAGACTATAAGTGTGCATAAGCTGGGTGTGTACAATGATCCCCAATATTTTTGGGGGGATTTAGGCCTGGTGTACACCCAACTTCCATTTTGAAGAGTGCATAAGCCTGGTGTGTAATCACCCTCTGTTTAGGAAGCTATATGCTCAGCCTATTTTTTTTCTAGATCTGTGTACCTTATAAGTGAATGGTGGAACAGCAACTGTTACCAGATATTGCTGGTTAAGGCAGTCAGGTATCAAATCATGTGATACTTGATGGTGTCTGCAGTTTTTCATGTGTGTGGTATCACCTCAGGGTATTGCTTTCTGCAGTGTTTTATGTGTGTTATATGATAAGCAAAAATGTTGTTGGGCTCAGGGTATTGTCTTCCACAGCCTTTGATGTGTGTATGTGTGTGTGTGTGCATGCGTGCGTGCGTGCGTGCGTGCGTGCGTGCGTGCGTGCGTGCGTGTGTGTGTGTGTGCGTGTGTGTGTGTGCATGCTATAGAGTGGCAAGTGCTGGTGCTGAGCAATGTCCACAACATGATGTGACCTGCCTGTGTGAAACAGAGGGGCACAGAATGACTGCTGGCATCAGCCGGCAGGTCAACCACAGTCGCCATCAGCCAATTACAGAGCACTCCAAACACGACATAAGACGCCTCTGTTGCGACGTGAAACACAGGTGGTCTTGGTTACAATAATATATGCTGGGTAGCAGTATCAAAAGGGTGGTGTGGGACAGTCCCAAGGAATTTTGCCCATATGAACTTTTGCCTCTCCTTGTCCCAATAATGCAACTTCCTACATCGACTCACCCCAGCCTGGCCACCACTGCCACCACCACCATCACCATCGGCCCGACGCTGCCGCAGGCGGCGATGGAGGCGGTGGCGGCCGAGGAGTTCGTGCGCCGGCTACGCGGCCTCATCGAGCCGGACGCGCAGCTGCAGCGGGCCGGCCTCGCCTACCTGGACGGCCTCAAGGCGTCCGACGACGGCTGGCGGCTGTGCGTGGACGCGCTGCTCTCGCCGGCGCTCGACGCCGAGGAACACGTGCAGTTCTACTGCTTGCAGGCGGTGGAGCACTTCGTCAAGACGCGCTACCCGGCCGAGGCCGACGGCGCGGCGCCCGCCGTGCGGCTCTTCATCAGCGGCTGGGTGCAGCGCCAGGTGTGTGGCAGCGGGGAAGGGCGGGGTGCTGGGGTCGCAGACCTCGGCCGCTGCTTGTGATCAGCACTGCTGGGGTTGGCTTGGTCTCTTGCGGGACGCGAGCCGCGGCTGCCTTTATAGGGTGCGTGTCTGGTGGTCCTGCGCGCATTGTTGTCCTGCTGATCTTCATGTCGTGGGGATTACACCTCGGCCGCGTGATGTGCTGGCTCTCGCTGTTCGCCGCCGTGAGCCAGCTCGCGGCCGTAGCCGGCTGCCAACGTCAGCACTCGCCATTGACCGCGGCACGCCGTCCTTCGCAGTGCAAACTGGGAGCCGCCGGCGCCAAGACGTACCTGCGCAACAAGGCTGCGCAGGTGTTCGCGCTGATCTTCGTCGCCGACTTCCCGGACCGCTGGCCGACCTTCCTGCTGGACCTGATGGGCATGGCCGCGCTGGGCCCGCCCGCCGTCGACATGTACCTGCGCACTCTGCTGCAGATCGACCAGGAGGTACGCGCCCCACCCGTGTCGGCGTCCGAGGGGACGTGGGTCGGCTCCCGCAGCCTCGCACGGCTCAGGCGCGAAGGATCCGGGAGGTTGTACGTCGGGTGGTGCGTGTGTAGGCGCACGAGTGGGCGGCCTGCCCAAATGCCAGCGATTTGTATATTGTGCGTCGCAGCACGTGCGCGGTTCCCCCGCCATTCAGCTGCAGTGGGATTCTTTCAGCGTAGTTCCATGAGGTGAACGACGACCCTGTTCGCTGGTGATCATCGCCAAAGAAGTATGCGCACCATGAACCGCTTGATTTACTGACATGTTCAAAAATGGTTTGTATATTGTTTTCGTTATGATCATTATGGTTTAAAAGTAAACATATGGAGTACATATGGAGTAAAAATAACCTTTCCAGTGCGATAGCGGGCTTGGCGCGGTTCAAAGTTCCGAAGGCTCCTAGCTTGCTTTTATGAGACGAAACTTGCTGGATGGGTTCGTCCTGCCGCATCGCAAATTCGGCGTTGCGGGGGCGTTGAGGACAAGCAATACCCAGCCTCAATGTCAGTTCTAGATAAACGCCTCGAGGCCGTTTTTGTCTTCATTAAGGTCGTCGACACCATTAATCGCCTTTTCGGCCCTGGCATCAGGCGAACCGTCTCGGAGATGTACCGTGACCAGTCTCCGCTGTCCTCACCCCTCCCCCCCCCCCCCCCCGCAGATCGTGGACCGGGACGTGGTGCACTCTGAGCAGGAGGCGCGCCGCAACACGCGCATCCGCGACGCCATGCGCGAGAAGTGCGTGCTGCAGCTGGTGGAGTCATGGCACGGCACGCTGCAGTCGTACGCCACCACGCAGCCCCATCTCGTCTGCATGTGCCTCGAGGTGGTCGGCAAGTTCGTCTCCTGGATCGACATCGGCCTGGTGGGTGGGGAATTCGAGCGCCGGGGTCGGGTCGAGCGTGTGTGAACTCCGTGCAACGTTAGCCGCGCGTGTCAAGTTCGAGATCTGAGCCTTGGTTAGATATTGGTTCGGAATTTGAGTGCCTATGTTTGGTGTGTGGTATGTTGGTAACAAACCCGTTATGGGAGGGCGTGGTGGTCGCCAGAATGTCTGATGGCCACCGCCGTGACAAATGCAGAATATCCTGCAGCGGGCAGTCCGCGACGCGAAGGTCGTTTTAACCCCCGTGCTGGCGCCATGCCGCGCTCCGCAAGGTGTTGCCTGTTTGCCACGCTGTAGCAGCCAGGCCAGGTGTACCCGTACACAGATTGCGTGACCGTCCAGAATCCGTCAGGGCGCCCTCTTGTGCCCTCCTCGGCCCCCGGGAGCATGTCGGGATTCAATCGTGTCCTTTCACGTCATTTCTCGTGCGATCCGCGCTGTATGTGCGCCGCGCGTCGGCAGGTGGCCAACGAGCGCTTCGTCGCCGTGCTGGTGACGCTGCTGGGGCTGGTGGACGTGCGGGAGGCGGCCGCCGACTGTCTGCATGACATCACGCACAAGGGCATGGAGCCCGTGCCCAAGGTGCAGCTGGTCGAGTCGCTGTTCGCCGTACTGCAGCAGGCGGCCGTGTTCCAGCTGCTGGAGCGCGTCAACGATCAGGTGAGGTGGACGGGGCTGGACGCCGCTCGTGCCGGGGATGGACGCGCACGAGCCGGCACGAGTTCAGTGCATGCATGGGTTCGACTTAGCCCGCGACTGGGTGAACTCTGAAGTGGCGTGCAATAAGGCGGATGTTGTATGGTTCACACTGTGTTGTGTTTGCTCGAGTACATGGTGACTAACTCGGTAATTGCCTGTGGAGGGATCATGCGCGTTCGTGCGACGGTCGCGCTTTACGTCTACGACATCGCTGCGTCGGTCGCTGCGCCTGCTGAGAGGTATGCTTCGGACACTCGTGCGCGCGCAACCAGCTGTCTGTCGTCGCCCGTCTGGAGCACCGCACGTGTCCGCTTCGCAGACGCCGGCCGAGGACGTCGACTATCTCTGCAAGCTGGGCAAGGTACTGAACGGCATGGGCATCGAGCTGGTGCTCTGCTACCACAAGCTGGCCAAGGCGGCGGCGGCGGCGCCCGGGTCTGGCGCGCTGGCCGCCACCGAGGCGGCCATCGGTGCCAAGGTGCAGCACATGCTGGCCTTCCTCAAGTGCGACTACGACGACCCTTCGCGCAGCGTCATCGACTTCGCCCGCGACTACGTGCAGGTGCGGCGTTCGTGTGGTCTTATGTGGCGCTCAGGTGGTCTTATGTTGCGCTCAGGTGGTCGTAGGTGGCGCTCAGGTGGTCTAATGTGGCGCTGAGGCGGGCTTACGTGGCGTTCGGGTGGTCTTATGCGGCGCTCGGGTGGTCGTAGGTGGCGCTCAGGTGGTCTTATGTGGCGCCGAGGCGGGCTTACGTGGCGTTCGGGTGGTCTTATGCGGCGCTTGGGTGGTCTTACGCGGCGCTCGGGCGGTCTCGTGCGGTGGTTGTTGGCGCGCGGTGACGTGGGTGCTTTTCCGTGCTACAATGCCGGCGGTACTGGAAGTAGTCGGACACCTTTTTGGGCTTCGCCTTGAGGTGGATGGTTGTGTGCGTGCATGAATGTCCTTTTTTGAATTTCGTACCTCGTGGCTGACGGGTTTTCCACGTCAGACTCGTAAATAGCTGCACTGCTTGACTTTGTGTGAAGGTGGGATGGAAGGGAAATGTTCCACATAAATGTTATAACACGTTGCAGGATTAAGACATCGTTGAAAGGACTACCCAAGCATTCCAAGAATATGCACGTGTAGGAAGAGCGTAAAGCCTGTCTTGACAATCTGATGTAGTGACCATGTTCCCCGTTGCTGACGATTGACCCCGTTCGCAGTTGTTGAAGACGAAGCCGATGCTGTCTGAGGCCGAGACGGGCCACGTCCGTGACATGGTCTACGTCATCATCCACAAGCTCAAGTACGACGATGACTACGACTTCCAGGCCATGGGCGAGGATGAGGCCATGTTCCAGGAGTACAGGTACGGACTGCGGGTCAGATGAGGACGATGGCGGGGCCATGCTCTAGGAGTACATGTACGGACTGCGGGCCAGATGAGAACCAGGACAGGATCAAGGCTCGGCCCATGAGATGAGGGCACTCAGCTTAATCGAACTCGGACCTAAGGAAAATCAGACATGGAGCTCCACATTGCCTGACATAACAACGCGACCGATATGCTACTGATGGTGGAGGCGGGAGTGGCATCGCGTGACGTCACGCGACGGTACCTCTGGGCGTCCTCAGGAAGCGGCTGAAGGTGCTGTACGACAACCTGGCGGCCGTGGACCGGGACCTGGTGCTGCACATCACGCAGCAGTTCATCTGCTCCACGCTCGACTGCTGGAAGTCGCTGCCCATGCGGGACGTGGAGGCCGCCATCACCATGCTGTACATGCTGGGCGAGGCGCTGCCGCCCGCCTCCGCTGGCAACTTCTTCTCCGACGAGCCGGTGCGTGGTGCTGCCCATATGAACAGTGGGCTGCCCGGATTATGGCATGCCTGTGACGGCTGATGAAGCTTTCTTTTGAACTGCGACCCCTTCCACTCTCTCAAACGTGGATCAGTCATGCTGCCTCGGCGGATGCCGCCAGCTTAGCATGGTCGGAGATCCTCGTTAACAGAGAACCCAGTGCAGTCTCGTCACGTGCCGGAATGGTCGTCCAGTCCTGTTGGCATGGCAGCCGGCTGACGCCCCCCCGGCGCTGTTGCAGGCGAAGGTGACGCTGCTGCAGACGATGATGCGCCGCCTGGTGACCTCAGACGTCGTCTCGTACCCGCACCACATCGTGCCGTTTCAGTACTTCGAGACGGTCTCCCGCTACGAGAAGTTCTTCACCGTGGAGGCGGCCCTCCTGCCGCAGGTGGGCCGCCGTTTGAAACGAACGTGCAGCCGAGCACTGACGCGGCACGTGGCGGTGCGCGCGACTGTCAGTAACCTGCGCCTCACAGCGCTGTTGAACTATACTGTTACACTTAAGCGGTTTGCAGTGTAAAGTAGGCGTAGCGTCCGCCGCACGAGTTGCTGGTGTTCTGTTGCTTGCGCCGTGTCCACCGTTAGAGATACGTAGCGCGTGAGATGTGAACCTATGTATTGGGAGTCCACTGCGCTGTTGAGCTCTATTTCGACAGCTCCGACGTTTCCTAGGCCTGCTTACGAACGAACCGTGGACTGTACACTAACCGTCCTGTGTTGTCTGCTGATGACTGGTGATTGGTGTCCTGAGTGTTCTGATGGTGACTGGTGAGTGGTGTCCTGAGTGTCCTGATGGTGACTGATGGCCTGACTGGTTCCCTGGCTGGCAGGTGTTGACTGCCTTCCTGGACGAGCGGGGGATGAACCACCCCAACGAGCGCAACAGGGCGCGCGCTGTCTACCTCTTCTCGCGTTTCATCAAATGTCTCAAGTAAGCAGGTTTTGGTATGGCATCTGTAGAGGCAGCTGTGAAAGCCGTCTGTTGCGATGGGCTTAGTGTATGCGATGGATGTTGTCCTTTTATTTGCGAGATTCGTTTTATTTTTGGAGAAGGTCCATAAGGAATAAGACGTATAATGTTTGTGAAGTTACCGAAGAAAGTTTTGAAGGATCGTCAATCTTAAGTGTGTAAGCAAGGATGTTGCTGCCATAAGTGTGTAATAAAAACAGCAGCCAATACCTGAGTGAATGCTGCTCGGGTAGTTGCAGGGATCTATCGAGGTGATTCACTGTTCATGCCGGGTGCTGACGCGCCTGGCATCAGTTCTGAAGTTTGCCGCGTGCTGAGCTCGGCTGTGTCCTCGTCAGGGTGCAGATGGGCCCGTTCACGGACACCATCCTGGGTCAGATCAAGAACCTGCTCTCGCTGGACCCGTCCGACGCCACGCTGCTCAACCGCGAGGACCAGCTGTACCTCTTCGAAACCGTCGCCGTCCTCATCATCTCGGCGGCGTCGGACAATAAGGTACGTGCTCGGGGTCCGTACTGTACCTCTTCGAAACCGTCGCCGTCCTCATCATCTCGGCGGCGTCGGACAACATGGTGCGTGCTCGGCGTCCGTACTGTACCTCTTCGAAACCGTCGCCGTCCTCACCATCTCGGCGGCGTCGGACAACAACGTACGTGCTTGGCATCGCTCCGTGCACGTGGTGTAGAGGTGTTCGGTGAATGGTGCGCCTTAAAGTGCTCGTGGGGTTTTGGTTAGTCAGATTAGATCTTGCGGCGAAAATGATGATCTTTTGGCGAGTTCTTTTGGGTTGATGTGTTTTTCTTTGTCATCGGGTGCTTCATGTTTGCGGGAACATTTTAACAGTGTTCGGTGTCATTAAAATTCCGCATTGGGAGCTCATTTCAACTATTTTAATCATGCCAGTGGTATTAGCTGCTTTGGGGATCATGGCTGGCTGGTTTGAATATTGAACCATCTCGTGTCAGCACGTGACGGGGCGCAAGTGTTCCATTCCTCACCTCGGGCAGTTATGCGACGCTCGGCCTTTTCTCGCTGCGTGACGCCCAATGCTTCCACCCGGCGCCACCTCGCCACCTGGTGACCCCTGCCCGTGTCCACCTCGGCAGCACAAGTGCGAGCAGCTGCAGCAGCTGCTGGGCCCGGTGGTGGGCCAGGTGGGCACGCTGTCGGCGCAGCTGGAGTCGGCGCCCGAGGGCTCGCCGCTGGCCGAGCGGCTGCAGCGGCAGGCGCGCCACGCCGTCGGCGTCACCGCCCGCACCACCAAGGCTTTCTCGGCCGGCCAGACGATGCGGCTGGTCGGCTGCGTCCAGCTCTACCTGGAGGCGCTGCAGATCTTCCTCAACACACTGCAGGTGGGTCGCGCGCGACGACGGGGCTGAAGCGATCCGGGCACGTGCGCCGCCGCGGGGTGGTTTATGGCCAAACTAGCCTCTCGGTTTCGTGTGCTGATGTTGGCGTGCGCTGGTGGCATCGCTCCAGGGGTGAAGGAACGTGCTATGGAGTGGACGGGTCAACTCCGTCTTTAGTTAAGTTCTTCCCACGCATCCTCACAGCGTCAACGATAAGCTATCTGAAGATGCGGTCGGGCGTTGGTCCGCCCTGTGTTTCACTGCTCCATCTCGATGTGACCCAGGTGCCTGACCGTCTGACCGGCGTGCGCCGTGCACCGCCGCAGGGCCCGCGCCAGTACCCGCTGCTGCAGTCGGGCGTGATCCAGCTGCTGCACCGGCTGGTGGTGTGCCTGGAGGAGGAGGTGCTGCCCTACATCCCGGCCGCCTCCGAGGCGCTGCTGCGCTCCGCTGACGTGCGAAAGGTGCAGGAGTACCTGCCGCTCATCAACCAGGTGGTCGCCAAGTACAAGGTGCGCTGGAGGGTCTCCGGACGTGGGTGGGGGAGGGCGCCGACCGGACTCGCCCGCTGTTTGTCTTGCTGGGGCGCTGGAGGGTCTCTGGATGTGGGTGGGAGGAGGAAGCCGGCCTGACTCGCTCGCTGTTTGTCTTGCTGGGGCGCTGGAGGGTCTCTGGATGTGGGTGGGAGGGGGAAGCCGGCCGGGTTCGCCCGCTGTTTGTCTTGCTGTCGCGCGGGAGGGTCTCTGGATGGGGGTGGGAGGAGGGAGCTGGCCGGATTTGCCCGCTGTTTTTCGCGCTGGGCCGATCGTCAGACCGCTTTGGGTAATAGGAAGGCGCATGTCGGCACGTACCAGTAAACGTTACGCAGCCATCTACGAACACAGTCTTGACTGCTGTCAGCGGGGTTTCTCCCACTTCAACGATGGGCTAGGCTGGCTGGTTTCTAGTTCAGATATTTGCATTGAAATAACGTTGCGCCGGGATTGTTACCGCAGTCTCGTGATGAAGCAAACAACCGCCATTATTGTTGTTTTTTTTGCACTTGTACCGGGTTTCTTTCAGCTATAATTTGCCCTGTGATCGTATAATGTTCTCCGCTAATTCCCCATATATGTGCCAGTTTTCGTATTTACTTGCTTCGTTGTTCCTTTATGGACCTGCGGACGCTTGCCACGATAACGCGGATGTCTTAGAAGTTATGTGACGTGACCAAATGTGACCAACTGCATGCATCAAAGAATAATTGGGGTACGAACATTGCTATGCGCTAACATCGGCAATGCACGTTTTTGCATTTAGGAGAATCTGCATTGTAAATACATGTCACGAGTAACCAGACATGTAACCTCCTGCAGTGAATGTGTTATGGCTTGCATTAACGTCTCATAATCGCCATTGCCATACGTGCTAACACTAAACGCATAAACACGCACTTAACTGCGCTCCAAAAGTGCGAGGAGCTTGGCCGAGATGCGCTTGCACGGCACGCCAGCAGCCGGTGTTCGGCCGGCCGCGGCCGAACCGCGGCGCGGGCGGCGCGCGCGAGCAGGTGCGACACGCTGAGTGTAGCTGTCGTGGCTGTTTCAGAAGGAAGTGATCCCGTTCGTGACGCGCGCCTTCATGCCCATCGTGGAGACGATCTTCGCCGGACTGCGCCAACCCATCGACGACGACGACGAGGTGGTGAGTACGGCGCCGCGGCGAGCTCGATGGGGGGGGGGGGGGGGGGGCGGACAGGGACGAGCACGGAGTACAGCTTCTCGTCGGAGCGAGATGGTGGCCTTGGTGGTGTTCTGAGTCCCACAGAGTTCTCGCACCCTGATGCGGTCCGCCAGATGAAGTGTCCCGAACGCGGGTTTGCCTATCTGACATCTACCCGAGTGGGGGCACCGGCATACTTGTTGGGAGAGCCGGGTAATGCAGTCTGGGCATTGTTATACAGACCGTGTCACAAGGAGTGCCTTCATTGCTCAGATAGTGTCACGATGAGCGCACGAAGTGAATGGGGGCGGCTTTATCACCCCGCGCGTGCTTCTGGTGTCGGCGGCAGGCGCGGCGAGACCGGCAGACGCTGCAGCGTTGCTACTACCTCTTCCTGGCGTCGCTCGTTTCCAACAACGTGCTGGAGGTGCTGGCGCAGCAGCAGCCGCAGCACCTGCACGCCGTGCTCCTGTCCGTGGTGCAGGGTGCTGTCGAGCTGCCTGACCCCGTGGTAAGTGGCTGACCTCAAGGCGGAGGTCTGTGTATGGTGCGGTTCAGGCTGTGGCCTCGAGGTGCCTTACATGGACTGGTGGTTAGCGCGGGTTGGGTGGTGGTCGTGTCCTCATGTGATACGCCGTGGTGATCATGCCTCAAGCACATCGAAAGCGTTTAGTGTTTTTGGCTTCTTCTTCTTCTTCTTCTTCGGCATCTTCTTGCCGCTTGTGCGGGCCTTCACTGCTTCTTTTATTGAGATCTAAGTATTGTTTAGGCATCTTTATGCTGTGTGCGTGTCTGCTGCCTTCTAGACTGGGCTCGTCACGAGAGCCCTGGGCAGCAATTGCGATCAGGTTAGCGTACAACGCTACCGACGAGCGCCTCTGAAGCTTGCTCTTGTCAGATGGCGCTCATGGTCCTGTCCCGTACGCAGCAGCCCACTTCCATAGCCATCCCCGTCTGCTGACCGGCGCGCGGCGTCGCGGCCCGCAGGCGCAGCGCTCGTGCTTCACCATCCTCCGGCGCGTGACGGAGGCGTGGGGCCGCGAGGGACCGGCCGACTTCGCCGCCTTCCTGTACGAGCACGTGGTGCCGGCCTGCTTCCGCGCGCCACTCAGCAGCACGTTCGACCTGTCCGACGCGCAGACCATGCAGGCCCTGCACGAGTCGGCCCTCTGCCTGCGCACCGTCTACGAGCAGCGGGTGAGCGCCGGGCGACCGACGGCCGGCCGGGGGACGGCGAGGAAGGTGCGGGGGGGGGGGAGCGGTGAAAGGTGCGGGCACAAGGCTGGTGAGAGCATGAAGTCGATGGGATTGTCGTTGAGGAGAGGGAGAGCGTTGTGCCGGGTACAGATGATTGGGATCGCGTGTCGGTGTTGCGAACGTCAGGGACGGTTTTCTCGAACTTCTATGACCAGCCCCTACTTTAATGAGCCATGAAAAAAGGTTCATGATGAGATTAGATGCGTAGGATTAGAGTGCAACATTTACCGGGTGTATCATATTTAATCTGCTCTCAGCAATCGCCGAAGACCTCAATGGTGGTTGCATGGAACGTTCACCATGTCCTAATGTCACCTGGTCCGTGAGCTGAGCCTGCTGTGCGCTGCTGTCAGCCGTGTGTGCGCTCTGTCTGTGTTGCGACCGCCGGTGCGCCGCGCCGGTCACGACAGCGTGAGCGCCGCCGCCAGGGCGAGGAGCTGGTCAGCTACCTGCAGAGCCGGTACATGCCCACGCTGGACCTGGAGCCGGACGTGATCCAGCGCTTCTGCCAGGCGCTCCGCTCCGACAGCAAGATATTCCGCAACTACACCAAGGTAGGCGGCCTCGCGGCCTCTCTCGGACGCCCCGCCGCGCCGCGACAAGCTGGATGTGTTCTTAGACGGTATCCGCATCCGTCTCTCTTATCCTCTATTTCGCTTCATACGGGATCCTCGCGACACCCCGCTTGCCCGGGGCAGGCTGCATGCGTCAGCCACGAGTGGGCCGAGAGCACCGCGGGAGGGGGGACCCCGACCGGGTACCCAGCGCGCATGCGCTAGTTTAAGCTCGGTGGTTGGCCCCCCAGGCGCATGCTAGTCTGTCCCGCCGTTAACCATTTTCCTTCCTCCCATAGCCCTGAAATGATCAGTTCTGGTCGAAAGGGCTCTAATCCAAAAAACAATGGACGTGTTCTGATGGGAGGCGACGACTGCTTGAGTGGGATCACTGGTGGTTTTTGGTTGTGAGGGCACGTCAACTGTATTGGTGATTTGCGTCGAATGGAAACGTGCTGTCGTCTAACCGAACGCTGTGGGATGACGGAAAAATAATCACGAGGTGCTGACAACGTTAATATCGTGTGCTCTGGGTCTGAGGTGCCAACATATTTATTGCTTTCATCTCTTCAACACGTCTTCCGTATGCTTCGCTGATTATCTGACAGGCCCTGCTTGCCATCTGCCCGTGGTGTCCTTGCCAGAGGCTGAACAGCCAGGACACCGTTCTCATGACCCGTACAGTTCCGTAACGCCACTTTTTCTGTTTCCTTTGCAGATGTTTTTCCGCCAGGCGCGTTCGTGACCTGCGCTGGCGTCGGCGGCCGGGCCTAGTCAGTGTCTTTGAATGCTCCAGCCGACGCGGGCGGGCACCGCAGGACCCTCAGCGCTGACGGCCGTGATGGCTAGTTGGCCAGGTGGCATCACTGAAACTCAATCGACGCGTTGCGACGCTTAAAGCGTGGGAACATATCGCCACGCCTGCGTGCGAGCGCGTGCGTCCGTGCCGTTTGCGTGCGGTGTAAGCGCGTGGAGGCGGCCTGCCGCTCGGTGGATGCGTCCACCTTGTCTGCTCTTGCGGGGCCATGAGTGCCCGGGACGGTGTTTCTGTGATACGCACCACCGCTTGCGGAGGTGCGGGCTGCGCCAGCGACAATGCGCCGGCGGTGTCTGCCGCGCGGGGGTGGCTTTCTCGTGGTCGTGCTCACGTGTTATTGTGGTATTTTGTAAGAATTCCTCGCAACTTGTTCCGATTATTTCGAGTATCGCATTGCACTGGATGTGACAGTCCCCCCTCACGAATGATCCAAAGTACCCCGATGGCTGGTGCGACCCGAGTTTGTCAGCCTCGCGGTGTTGCGTCGACGTGTTCGTTGATTAGCCGGGGGGCAACGATCGCGGGGTGCCTGGCCAGCGCCGGCGGCTGTGCAATGTTCCGGTGAGGCCGTCTGGTGGCGGCGCCCCGCCTCAACCTCGCCCCGGACCCTCCGTCGGCTCCCGCCCGTCGGGTCATGTGGTCGCCGCCGAGTCGTCGGATCGCTCGTCTCCCGTGCCGGGCGGCCGAGTCCGCCATCAGAGGTCTCCCGTGCCGGGCGGCCGAGTCCGCCGTCAGAGGCCTGCCGTGGCTGGTCGCCGTGCTTGTAGCATACTGTTCCGTTGATTCATTTATCACCAGTGGTGCCTTGTGTTTGTGCTCTCGCAACCATACATGTACTTTGGCAGTTTCAGGGCTCAATAGTATGCTGTTGGACAAGAACTTCCTCGCGCCAGGTCGGGCTGTCGTACATTGCGAACTGAAGTTCTGCCGGCTTGTTTAAGCTCGCGGTCCTTATATTTTGTGAGTGGCGATCGTCAGTGGCTATTTCTGTAACATTTGACTTGCCTTTCTTAACGACGAGGTGTGCCGCTTACTTTGCATCCGTGTAAAGGGAAGGTTTCGTAGTGCTCAGACATTTGGGGTTGGCCGCAAGCGATTATGCGATTTGTATCTTGTTGCGAACGAGGTGTGGTTGCTTTGTGTGTGCGTATTTATCGAATACGGATGGATTTGGGAGTTACGAGCTGTTTATAATGAAGCTAATGCATCAATGGAATGTATGTGTACGCACCATGATGTGCACGACTACGGTTAGTTCGCGTTTCGTTTCCAGGCACCAGGGTTGTCGCTGGAAACAAACCCGTGCCCGGTTTGTATTTTGCTCACGGATATGATCTTGTTTTGATCTTAAACAGTTTGTGATTTACGAAGCAAGACAATAATGTGTTATGGTACTGTGTATTTTTCTTTCTCACTTGACCAGCGAAAATGGTGTTCCGTTGGTACCTTCGTATCAAAAAGTCAGTTAAAGGTCGCGTTAACATGTTTTGCTCCCGCTGGCGCTGGCGCGATGAACGCCACCTTTGAGACCGACTCGAGTACGTCGGAGGGGCGATACTTGGGGTCTGGCCAAACCTGTGGGTAACAATTTATCTACGCACACGTGAAATGCAGACGAATTCCCGAAACAGTTCACTCGAGCATCTGGCGACATCGGAGTGGCGCGGTGGGTGTCACGGCTAAGGAGGGCGTCCGAGAGCGTGAAGAGGCGCATCGCCAATCGCCACAAGCAAAACAGGCTCGCCCCTACCGCTGCTGTGACCCTCGAGTGCTCATGTTCCGTTGGTGCAGCCGTGATATTGTCACTGTGTAAGCCCGGTGTCTTTAATGATGGGAGTTGTCGAGCCGTGGTGCACAACCAGAGCATGCGAGAAGAAAGATGCCGGGCCCGATTGTCCCCACCAGATTTGTTTAGCCTAGCAGCAGCGTCTCTGATCACATATTTCCAGTTTTAGAACTGTACCTGATGTGTGCGTACTGCATCTTGACCGTGCATCTTTCCACCCACCGCGCACTAATTGTTGAGCTGCCTACGCTGTACCCAAAGCTATGTAATTTTGTTTCGTTGCGAGTACATCGTGCTGTCACCATCACAGCGGGTCAAGATCGGAACAGCAAAAACTGCGAGATTAGCCGTCACGGATCGCTGGCTGCCTTACAGTTCCGCATCGGCGTGACCCGGGACCGTGTGTCGTTTACGAGTCAGGGATTGCACGATGACCCGGCGCTGGAAACCTTGTGCAAACACGTGTCTCACAAACATGCGTGTACGGTCTAAAGGCGGACCGCATGACGCACGTCGCTATGTTCCATACTCGTCTTCCGCAGCATCGACGGCGCGTCGAGCCGGCGGCGCTCACTGGACACCCTGGAACGTGAGGCCGGTGCCCTCCACCGAGCGCCTGATCCAGTCGTTGAGCCGCCGGTCGGTGTCGGCCGACAACTGCTGCTTCCAGCTGCCTACCTGGCCCTCACGGATGAAGGACGGCATGTCCAGGATGCCCGCGTCCTGGTACATCAGCGAGTTGGCGTGCTTGTTGTTCTTCATGCCGGCGAAGTCCAGGTGGCTGCACAGCTGGCCCACTTGCTCGTCCGTCAGCTGCTTTCCGAGGAGGGCGGCCACGCGGCGGAGCGTGCCCGGCATGTCACGCTTCATGTCCTCGTAGAACAGGAACAGCATGTTGGGATGGTCACGGCGCTCCCACGCTTCCAGCACGTGCGAGAAGAACGGCAGCCCGGGCAGCCGGCCGGCCATGTAGTCCTCGGCCAGGTCCTCAAGCGACCCGCTGTACTTGACCACGCGGCAGCGCGAGAAGTGGTGGTAGTACGACACCAGCGCGTCCTTCGGGTTGCGGGTCACATAGATTACTTTGTTGGTGTCCAGCACGTCGGGTGGCAACAGCGACAGCGGTACGTGCGTTTTCACCAGCCCCGCCGAGCGCCAGAGGCCGCGCAACAGCAAGTAGCCCAACCGGCAGAGCCCGGCCAGCTTCGAGAGCCGCGTCAGCACCAGCGGCACGTACTCGCGCAGGAAGGCGGGCGTCAGGCCCAGGTAGAAGAAATTCCCCACCTCCGTGTAGCGGTTCTGATCGAGCGGCGTGCGTGCGCCGGCGAAGTCGCAGTCGTTGGCCAGCAGCCAGGCCATCTCTAGCGTCCACGTGGTGCCGCACTTGGGCACCGAGCAGACCACCAGCTCGCCGGGGCGCACGGTGCGCCGCGCCGCGTACCGCGGCAGGCTGAGGAGGGCGTGGCGCGGCAGCGTGAAGCGGCCGGCGCCGACGCGCACGGCGCCGGCCTCCAGCGCCCGGCAGTGGCCGCGCAGCGTGCGCTCGTCCATGGACAGCACACGGTGTCGCCGGCCCGCGTCGTCCTGCACCTCCCAGCCACCGGCAGAGGCGTCGGCCTCGATCTCTGGTGTGGTGTTCCGGGCCTCTGGTGTGTCGTCCCGGGCCTCTGGTGTGTTGTCACGGGCCACTGGTGTGTTGTTCCGGGTCTCTGGTGCGCCGTCCCGAGGTTCTGGTGTGCAATTCCGGTCACGCTCGCTTGGGCTAGAGCGGTACCCTCGCCTTCGTTACGTCTTCCCGCACGCCATACCTGAAGTTGGCCTCGTCACCTTCCGCGCGATATTTCAAACCGCCAGAAAATCTGCCGTCGGACGACAGCGATCGGGACAGGGCAGCACTCACACTAGGACGGCCGTCAGCGCTGGTGATGAGTGGATACTCTTGAACTTCCGCCGCAGGCTGGAGCGCAGCGTCGTGCCTCCGCCGGAGGGTCCCGGTCGTCAACGCGTACCCTGCGTGAGAGCTGGGGCTGTCGTGACCGCGAGAGCGCTCCTGGCTTGCCGTCGGGTCATTCTTGGTCGAGGACCCACGCTGGCAGGCTTCTGGTATCTCAGCTGCCCCGCTGATATTCAGGTTGACGCAGGTGCCGTCATTTGCGTTGGTGGCCACCATCACGGGTCATTTACGTGACAGCCGACTTCCAATACGCTCCTCCTGTTTTCGGTTCGCGGAAGGCAGGCAGACTGTAATCCGGAGTCGCACGCAAGTTTCCACTGCTGCAGGGAGCGCTTGTATGCGGGACAGCGGGCGTGTACGCTAAATAAAGTCGGTGTCCGCCGATGCGGCATGATACAACACGCGCTTCGACGGCAGGCACATGGGGCGGTGCCGCAATCGCCTGGGCATTTCGTCACAGCAGTAAAAGTAGTGTCGACCTTTTCCACTCGCCGTTGGAGGAATACCTAGATAGCTGTGGCGTTGTCCCAAACGGTGTAGGAAGGAGTTGTAGTTGCATTTGCAGGGACGGAGTCTGCTACAAGGCCATGCTGATGCAGAGCTGACCGTCGCTGAATCAAGACAGCTCACCTTGCCGAACTGAGCCAAGAGATGTCTCGCCAATCGATTACGTGCACGTATGTCGTCACTGGCAGTGTTTTCTTACCTCAATCGGAAGACGCTATGGCGAGGAACTACATCAGGAACACTGCCGAGAAAACCCCGTCAGAAAAGTCCGAGAGCGCTTAGTATTGACAATGTATGTACGGGGCTTGAGCGCACTGGGATTTACCCCCACAATCGTATCGTTTTTGATGATGAGTTGTTCCTACCCAGCTCGGTGACTAATGGACCAGTCCTACGGCCAGTCATCTCTAAAGGCTCTGGTCAGCTGGCGCCCAGCTGGCGCCGAGCGGAGCGACGGCAGGCTCCGGTCAGCAGGCGCCGAGCGGAGCGGCGGCAGGCTCCGGTCAGCAGGCGCCGAGCGGAGCGACGGCAGGCTCCGGTCAACTGGCGCCCAACAGAGCAGCGGGCTCTATGGTACAGGATACGTCCGTTTCTTCAGAGGCCGGTTATTGATCAGCAAAAAAGTTGTCATGGCTTATAACTGATGACATTTCCTTTTGGTTCACTTGATCTAAATCACAGGTATAAGTAGAGCAGAGCTATCGCGATTACCTTGAAAAACGTATCAACGCGCCCTACTATCCTCGAAGTGTTTTCCACCTCAATCGTCAAAACGATTCAGTACTACTACTCACGCAGAACTGTTCGTGAATGAACGTGTTGAAAGGTGGGTTAAAACGCAAGCTTGATTTGGTCGGCGCGCCGACCGGACCTGTAACCAAAGCCTCAGGTTGCGCTGTCACACACAGCAGAGGCGGCGAGAAGCGCGCAGTTCAGCCGTGAGCGTTGCTGCCGGTCGCTCCTAGCACTAGTCACCGCTTGCCCGCGTGAGGGGCTGCGGTGAGCGAGACTTGACCCCGTGACCCAGGGCATCGCGGACTGAAACCAGTGTGTAGGGACCTGGACACGCGTGCGATAACCAGGCGTTCGTCCGACTGTTCCCAAAGCCTCGCACGGTTCTGGGTCTGCGCACCACTAACAAGGCTATGCTGCTGCGGGATGCATCGTACGTTTAACAAGGCTATGCTGCTGCGGGATGTATCGTACGTTTAACAAGGCGATTTCGCAGTGCGCATTAGATTAAGCATTAGACGCCATGTATAGCACGTCTAACAAGGCGATATCGCTGCGGGATGTATTGTAC